CCAGCACTCTCTGGCTGTGTCTACCTGAACAGGCCAGTGGAAGACTCTCAAAGGGCAGACCCACCATTTTGTCCAAGCCCCTGCCCACATGCTATCAGGATTTACTTCAGACCATTTCCAAAGGTAATTTTCTCTTTTTAGGAGCTCCCCTAGATAACAGTTTGCTTATAAATTCAACGCCAGCAGAGGTCTGTTGACCAATTACACATGTAATTCTTCAGTTTAAAAAAGATAAATCCTCTCTATTCAAACAAAATATGCACTATGTACACTCGCTTCTAAATTTGCAATAGCAATATTGCTGGTTTTAGAGAATGGCAAAACTTAATATCAAAATTTAAACTACTTAATCAGATCATATTTATGGAACTATTCTAAATCTATTTTTGCTAAAGCAACAATACTGATTAGAAGATTTATCCATTGGAGATCTTTTTTGTGCATGCTATTAGCATTTCAGTCTCCAAAAGGAGAAAACAAAGTTTCTATGAAACTTTCTCCTCTTCTGCTCTGCTAGAAGTGACATCTGTTGAAAGAACATAACTGACAGCTGAAAGATGTGGAGCTTCTCAAAGCCACTTAACAAGGTCTTCAGACTAAATCTTGAAAATCAAAGTCATAGAATCACTGAATATGATGAGTTGGAAGAAACCCACAAGAATCGAGTCCAACTTCTGGCCCTGCACAGGACCATCCCCAAGAGTCACACCATGTCCCTGAGAGTATCATTCAAATTCTTTTTGAGCTCTGTCAGGCTTGGTGCTGTGCCCACTGCCCTGGGGAGCCTGTTCAGTGCCCAACCACCCTCTGGGGGAAGAACCTTCTTCTAATATTTAAGCTACACCTCCCCTGACACAACTTCAGGCCATTCCATCAGGTCCTGTCACTGTTCACCACAGAGACCTGCCCCTCCTCTGCCCCTCACCAGGAAGTTGTAACTGCAGTGAGGTCTCCCCTCAGTCTCCTCCAGGCTGAACACACCAAGTGCCCTCAGCTGCTCCTCACACGGCTTCCCCTCAAGGCCCTTCACCATCCTCATTGCCCTCCTTTGGATGCTCTCTAATAGCTTAATATCTTCCTTGTATTGCAGACACCAAAACTGCCACAATATTCAAGGTGAGGCCGCCCCAGGTCAGAGCAGAGCAGGACAATCCCCTCCCTCAACCGCCTGGTGATGCTTTGCCTGATGCCCCCCAGGACATGGTTGGCCCCCCTGGCTGCCAGGGCACTGATGATTCATGTTCAATTTGCCATCAGTCAGGACCCCCAGGTCCCTTTCCTGGCACTGCTCTCCAGCATCTCATTCCCCAGTCTGTCTGTACATCCAGGGTTCCCCCATCCCAGGTGCAGAATTTGGCACTTTCCCTTGTTGAACTTCACACAGTTGCTGATTGCCCAGCCCTCTCATTTGTCCAGGTCTCCCTGCAGGGCCTCTCTGCCTGCCAGGGAGTCAACAGCTCCTCCCAGTTCTGTGTTGTCTACTCACCCCTGATTAAGCCTAAAGCATGTATTTACAAATTTCCCTTACATTTCTCCATTCAAAGCACTGCTTCTTTGGTTGACTCAAGATGTGACTTATAATGGATAAGGCTCCTGCATCCTCCCTATTTATCCAAAAATTGTTTATTGCACCTACTACTACGTCCTATCTAATGCAGAGAAAGGATTATATTTTAATCTTTATACAACTACATAAGAATTTGTCCTCAATTCCTGTTAAATATACAAAAATTAAAATAGCATACGTGTTTTACATGCCTGGCAAAAGGCGGGACATTTAAAATTATTTTAAATAAACAAGGTTTTTAAAAAACATTGGCACAGTGAGACAAGCTACGTAAGTTACTTGTGAGCTCGCAACAAAGATTTGTTAGTAGAGAAATCTACTTTTATAGAAATGTTGGAAAGGGTTCTAATATTTCTCTAAATGAATTAAGAAATTATACACGCTCAAAGTCAAGCTGAAAACATCATTAAAATGTACGCTTTGCTGCTATTCACATGCAAATAAGAAAAATTATCCCAGAACTAAGAAATTAAGAAGTCAAAGAGACCAAGAGATTCTTGCATTTTTATACTATTGCAATCTAGTAAGAAGTAATATTTAGTCTTTAGCATGCTAATAACCTTTGCTCCCTCTTATGAGAATTCAAAATATTTTGCAAATACGTTCAGTTTCATAAGGTAAATCAGACATATCTGGTTTTAAACTAGAGTATTTTGATTTTTAATAATTTTTTCGAAATTACTGCCTCGCAGAAGGGAAAATATTATTACAAATCCAGCAAACCACACACTGTACACAGACACCTAGACACTCTAGAGTCCCTGCCTCCCATCCTGAAAAAGTTGCAATTTCATTTGCATTCTGTTACTTCTGTGAGAAACTCCAAAAATGAAAGACGACTTCCTCTGCGACTAGATGTTCTAATGCCATCTCAACTTCAGTCGGTAACAAAATCCTGCCGTGCTGCAACATAAATTAACAACAAAAAAAGAAATAAAAAAGTAACTTCTGGAAAATAAAAACATCCGTGGCGAGTAGTAGTCAAGGTTACCCAGCAGAGCAAAGCAGTTCCTCCAGCTTTCCCTGCAGTAAACTTGAAAACACTGAAAACATACACAAGGTAAACCAGCTTTACAAATCTCTGGACCTAAGTACCAATAAGGTGATGCTGATGACACCACTGTGAAACATTTATGAGCAGCTACTGATCTACAGAGGCACAATTCCCATCCAAATCTTGCTCAGGTATCCAAGAGCAGAACTTGTCAGTGAAAATATTATATAGGGATTAAAAGGTATTACGCCTGATGACATGACCTGCCAGAAAATAAAGACGACCAAGAAAGCCAAAACTCACAGCTCTACAGTTCACATTCCACCTATGTAAAAAGCTGTCACACATAATTTAAAAAAAAATAAGGACTAATAGGTAAAACCTAACTGGACTAATTTTTTCCAAAAGTACTTTTGACAGTATATTAAATGATAAAAAAGTTGTTTACACAAAGACTAACAATCTACATCACAAAGAGAAACATAAGTAAATAGTTAGCATTTCGTAGGAAAATAACCTTCTCAGATCATGTATTAAGCACAATATAAAAAGATTTTCCAGGACTGGTCTATTCAACAATTCAACATAATTCAACCATTATTACCCATTTTTCACATTCATCTCATTGGTACACTAACAGGATGCTACTAAAGTATACTAGTATACAGCTGAAATACCTGTAAAATCACTAAGTCTGCATATTCAAGAATTTCATTAACTTGTACTTTCTATCAACCATCTCTGCATCCTTTCACACAGAGAAGAAAAAAGGTTGCTACGAATATATTTTGAAGAATCCATCAGTCACAATCACTTAATGCCTCCAAATAATTTCCAATATATTTTCTTCACAAGGGTTCAATTTTCTGATTACAGCTAACTATGAAACAGCATATGAACACTTATGAACAGTTTTTGTATTAAAACATTAAAAAAAGGCGTTTTACCTCTTCTTCGTTATTGTTCCCTTCTTCACTCATTTTCTAAAGCCTCATACCTTAATTTGTGATCCTAATTCCACAGAACCTATTGGAATACTCCACCTGTAGACATCTACAGTGTATCTTAAAGCACACGACATCCTTCTCAGTCATCAACTGCAGCTCCTCCACAGAAGCCTGGCAAAAGTCCATTTGCTGGCAAACCACTCTAATCCTCACACATCCAAAGGCAAGCCACGTCCCAGACCCTCTCATGTATCCCAAGTGTCATTCCTTGCCTCGTGTGAAACCTGCCAGCCAAACTCTGCACTTCGTGGAGCTGAGTGAAACCATCCAGAAAGATCTCTGGGAGCAATTTTTTTCAATGCAAGAGAACACAGATGAGCCCCTTCCCTCTTGGACAAGTGGTAAGAAAAAGCAAACAAAAACCACCACCACCTGCTTTTAGACAGCTCTGGCAGGCCTTGCTTCAGTATGCATTATTTACTTTACTCATTTTCCTAAGAGTAATGTTGTCTGGAATTAGATTTAATGACGTTATGACTCAAGCACACCATTATTAACATTTCCTTAGGAAATTAAAATTTCAATGTCTGAATGACTTCAGCTAATCACCAGACTTCGCAAGACAGAGATGGTTTCCTCACCTACCTCAGAAGAAACTTCTTCCTTCAATTATAACTAAGATATTTAAGATGCAATGAAAATTTTACAAAGGCTCAACTGAAAATCTAATCCAGTTTTTAATATTTATGGTTACCCAACCCAAAAAAAGCCATGGACATGGTTTTGATAAGTCTTGGCTGCCAGGTGCCTACAGCAATTTGACACTAGATAACACGGTTTTTGATAAAGAGGGAGCCTGAAACAATATTCATTTATTTCAGTGCTTAAAACACAATTATTAGAAAAGTATTTTCCCAAGCTGCTGAACACTAGCAAACACCCCTGGAAGGAAGATGACATGCTCAGAAAATCTGGGAAAAAGAAAAAATATTAGGAAAAAAATCAGACCATGCACTTGCATAACTTCAGATACCCCTTTAAACACCAAATTTGGTAGTTTAAACTTTTAATTGCCTCTTCATTCAGAAAAAGTCTGTGCAAAGCTACTCACTACAGGATTAAACAAAAAACAAGAAAACAAAAAGAACAAACCTGCAGATATTTTCCATACTCCAATTGCAATCTTCAATTGCTAGTAATACTTTTTGTGAGCGAAAAAGTCTGTATTCCTGTTTGCAAACTCAAATTCAAATATTTAATAAGAAAGCTTAGCCAAAAGGCTGACTAAAGACACACAGTACTAGATGAGGAGGAAATGAGTAGCTACATATATTAATTATCACCCTTTCTGAGATCACAGGCTCGATCAAGTTAAAATTTAAAGGGCTTAGATTACTTTCTGGTGAATTTTATTAGTTTTCCCCAAGAGGTGCAAAGACTAATGCTGTCACAACAGAAAAGGAGAGCATATACAGCGTCATTACAAGCTGAGTCACCCGAAAGCACTGAATCTTGCTTTATTATAACACAGCATCTTAAATAGTCTCCTGAAGCACTATCATTTGTTATGCAACAGAGTGACAAGAGCAAGCGAGCCCAGTATCACCATAAAACCAAATGTGGCGCATCTGCAGAGTCCTTCTCAGTGGGCAGACCCTGTTCCCTTGCTGGTCCCTTTGGATATAGCAGCTGCAGGCTTCCCTTCCTCTACTGCAACAGGGAAGGATGCAGATCAAGGTTGGTGAGAGCTCTTCTTCTTGTGGCTGCTGGTGACATTTAGATACACCTGCAGAGAGCCACGGCGCAGGTGGGAGATGAGGAGGTCAGGCAGATGTCCAAGAACCACCACCAGAAGGTTCTTCCCTGTGCAGCTGTAGCCATCAACTTACTCCTCCCCCCGTCCAAGTATTTCAGTTATTTTCTCTCGAGAGACCAAAATCCTGAAGGATGAAAAAGTAAAATCTGAAGGGACTTCTTCAGCATGCCTTGTTCATATCCTCCCATCATTCAGATGCAAGACACGGATATTTTTCATTTCCTGGTACCACAGTCTAATCACTCAGCAATACCAGCTTCAAAACAGAACACAGTTATGCAGTGCTCTCAAACAAATCACACGTGTTTTAAGTCTTCTGTCGTTAGGGAATTTAAGATCCCTGTATTTTTGGAAGACCCACTACAGAAGACAGCAAAACAAAAAGATAATTGACAAGCGTGACTGACTTTCTCCGCCTCCTCAACTGGCTGTTCAAGAACAGGCTCCTGTCTTGTTTTCTTCCCAGTCCCCTCCTTTTCTCTCTCATCTTGTGATGGAACTCACCCAGACGCAGATACTGTAGAACATATACGACATTTGTTGGCATTGCACTGTTAAATAATACTCCTTCTACCTTGTTACTTTCTGTTTAGACTGAATGCCACAGCACAGAGCAATCAGTCATAATTTAAGGAACTTAAGCCAATGGGGTCTGATTTTCCAAATCCACATGTAGACACTACCATCATAAAACCAGACAATATTACTATTTTAAATAATAATAAATATTTGAGGTACTATCTTTTGCGTATCTTAGTCAAAACTATTTTGAAAATATTTTCCATTTTTGTGCACTAACTTCAAACGCTAACTTCACCGAAAAAAAATTCCCTCTTAAAGTATGATTTTAGCCAAATGTTTTAATCAGCATTATCTGATGAGATTCCATTTAACTAGTTTCCTACTACACACCACCAAAAATGAATATACTTTGCATACATATGCACTCCACACACATTTATTAAACATTTCCATACCCAGCTGTGATCTGGAGCATGACTAGCCTCTTCCATAAATTCACAATATATGCAACCAGATAAGAGTGACTGAAAGAATACACAGGAACTACATGATCAGCTGCAATAACTCTCAATATACCCCAGTAACACTCAAGTATCACGGGAAAAAAGTGTGTTCTGTAAATCCCAGAATATTGTCAGAATTTCTCTGTATTAGTTTACTGCCTCTTGCAAGTTCCTATATCTTTCTTTCTGTTTCACAACAATGGTTTATCTTTATCAATCACCATATAAATCACTGTGCTGCTGACACAGAAAAATTAGCCATAAAATTTGCATATGGAAAGATATTTTCAGCATGCTTCCCACAAAAAAAACATAGCTGTTTCTACAACAAAGAACACTTACAAATCACTTGCTTTATGTCACCTCATTAATTTTACAAGTCCAGTGAAAATAAGCTAAAACAATAAAAACTTTCACTATGTCCATGTGTGTCTTGTGCTTTTTCAAAACCAGTATTTCAGCATCTATCTCATGATGTAATTAATATTCCACTCCAAACTTGGTATTTTGGTTGCATCCTACCAAAAAAAAAAAACAACTCATACAGCTTGAGAACTCAGAACTAATTTTTCCAGATCCCTTTTCAATTCCTGTTTATTTTGGATACCCTGCAGAAAGCTTCAATTTTGAGAGCCTCTAGTGTAAATGGGTCGTTCCAGTTATAAATTATTTGCAGATGGCTTTGGAGGTACTATGATAAGAACACTGGTCACCAGCATAGACCCGTAACTATTTATACACCACGATAATTGGAAACCTTTCTCACAAAACAGAAGTCCACTCTGCAGGATGCTGTACAGAGAAAGGTTATTTTTGCCTTAAAGAGCTTACACTCAGTATAAGGCAGAAAGAGAATACTGACGCATGGACAGGAATATAAAGAAACTAAGACAGCAAGTTCTGAACAACAGACCCCACTTTTGCACACCAGCAGACTTCCTCAGCTTCCTCCAAGTGTCATCTGGGACTTGACCAACTAGCTCTGCAGAGAAGGAAGGAAACAATCATGCTCCAGCCCAACAACATCCAACAGAACCTTCAGGAGGTGAAAAGCCACTGTCTTCAGACTTCAACTGCAGAGCTCAAGCATCACTTCCCTCACAACAGAACAATGTTTGACCATCAGCAGTGTCTTACATCTCCTCCTGTTATTTTAGAAGGCCATGCTCATGATCTCAGCTGAAAAAGAATCATTGGATGTTTGGGTGGGTGAAAATAGTAACTATCCTGAAAACAAAGCAATATAGACCTGAAAGACTGAAAGGAGAGCTCATGGCAAAGCTGGATGTTTTCAAGAAATACCTGTCTCTTTCTAGAAACTAGATATCACACATTACTTCCAAGACAAGGATTGTCATTCCTTCAATGAATGCTGGGTAGCAAAAATAATCTGAATAATTTTAGGGAGAATCAAAAACAAAATCTCCACAATAAGTCCCAGCTAACTCAAGATGTCAGACAAGATCTCTTTGGGGAAAATTAACTGCCTTATTTTTGTTTACACAAATTAACTTAATGAGAAAAAAAAATCACCTGATACTGTTTCTGATTAATAACTTAAACACTGGAGAAAAGGGAAAGGTCTCATTCATTCTTTCTCACCTCAAGTTTGACCACCTATTATTACAGATACCTATAATTTACACCTATAATTTACAGACCCTAAAAAAAAAAAAAAGACCTCTAGAACTATCATAAACCAAATAGTACTAGCAGAGTTTATGGTATCTCCATTCTAGTCTATTCTAGATCATATTTAATGCAAAACCATAGATGTCATCTGATTACATATAATCTGAGTAGGGCACAATTTGCTTTTGTTGTAGTTGGAGTTTAAATATTATGCATCAAAGTGTTTGTTGTGCTGGAGCACTGTCATTTCCTACAGCTTTGCAACTCATAAGAACCTTTAAGGTCCTCCTAAGAATAGTTAAAATTTCAGAGTTTCAGCCTCTGGCATTCATACTAGAAGTCACTGCTAATGAAACTCTTTTACATATCACTGTAGCCATAACATATGGAGGAGATCCACATGTCTAGTTAAAATGCCAGTGACTATGGCAAAAGAAAAAAAAATGGGAAAAAGTAGGGTGAAAACTGGGAAACATGCCTCTGGATATCTAAAGACACTGATTCTGAAAATTCTTGGTTCTTTAAGAGAACAGAGAAAATTCAATTGCCCAGAGAGCTGCAAAAACATCGGTTGGGTATTTGCAAAGAACACCATTGGACTGAAAAGATTAAAATGTAGTTTAATCAATACAGTAAACTTAAAGAGGAAATTACTTGCATGTGGATTTACTGCAACAGACTTTTCATTGAGAAGTGAGGTAGGTCGGTAAAAACTAATTTGTAGCCTTTGCTTTAAAGACAGGACTACTACAGGGACTTTGTGAAACAAGGCAATAAAAGAAGATTCAGAGATAAGTGGAAATATTATTGCTAAACCCCCTGACAAACAGACTCCCCAAAGGAGACAATCAACAAGAATATTCAGTAGGAGGGTACTAACATCTTTATCTCAGCTGTGACTCACTCTTAAGTAACATTTATTTTCTTAAGAACCCCTATAAGTAAAATGAAAACCCCATTCACTGACCATAACTATAGGGAGAACATCATCTTTCTGATTAGATTTTCTTTATATTGGCAACTCCTTGTATTAGCACACAACAAGAAACAGAGGCCCAAATCAGCTATTTTATAACAAAGAATATAACTGTGTCAAAGATGAGTAAAGGAAATTTTTATGTGTAGGAGAGAAGAAAGCAGAAAAACTAAATCCAAGATCAGAGCATTTCCTTCCCCACCCACAATAAAGTGTTTATGGACTTCCCTGTCATGACTATAATGTTAAAAATGTAAATTTATACGACAGTCCCAGTTGAGAACCATATTAATACCAACTGGTTACCACCACTCACGTCAGCGAGAAACTGTCTCAATCTGTGTCCAAAATTTCACTTATTCCAGCAAAATTCAGTTGACACATTGCATTCTTTTGCAGAAAGTGCTGAAAATATATATATCAAAAGAAAAATGAGAGTGCTGAACAGTTTCCAGTTTCCTTTAATCTGAACAGGTTAACAGTATTATAAATGCTTCTGTTTGAGGTAAACACACTTGGACTCTTCTACAGCAGTCCTTAGTTGTTCACTACTAGCTTAGAAACCTGCAAAACCATGGATACACAGACCTGAAAAAATCCCACCCCAATAATAAGCTATTTTACATTCATAAATATTTAAATTACCAAAAACTCTTCAGGGGCAATAATAGTTACTCTCCACAGTTTATAACCTCAAATAGTTTCTTTTGCAAGTTCTGTTGCCAAGAAAGTTGGTTTGGTTTTTTTTATTTATATCAAAGACAGTTTAATGAACAGTCACTTCATCAGCCTCTTCTTATCTAAATAGAAACTTACACAACTGGAAAAAATACTTTACATACAGTGTCACAATTTCTATGTCCACTTAATGTGTGAAAATTTCACCATAGCTCTGACATAGAAATCTGAACTTGAAGTTCTTTATGTATTTGACTGATTTAAGTGTCTTCAGCAGCAGGACACGTGCAAGAGCAATTTGTATGCTAATGCGTGTGTACACTATTTGCATTCTCACTGCTTCTTCAAACACTTAAAATACAAGGCAACACAACAAGACTTGACTGCAAATTTTTGATCACTGAATCCATCTCAAAATTGCTACATCACTTCGCCACTGCTGGACGAGGCTGTTTTCAAATGAAAACAAGGACATACACTCTCTTTAAACTTTCTGCTTATTTATGTATTGTTTCAGTCTTTGTAGGCTTATCACACATTGATAAGCCTAAGTTAGTAAGATCCTGTGAAGCTAACATAAGCACTAATATCACAGATAAAAGCATCCGAAATGTGAAAATTATTTAAGCATTTACATTGCATAAGAAATCCTTTCAACTTAACATTCTATTTATGATCACTCAGACAAAAAAAAACATTTCACTGTATCATTTTTCTCAAGGAACCATGTAACAATATACCTAGACTACATACAGTGTACATATATCAACACAGCAGTGTAGAGACTTGAGCTAACCCAGGTACCAAAAGCAAACTACTTACAGTACCATACCCAAATAAGATAGCTTGTAAAAGTTCCACACTAACGAGGCAAAACCATTTCTGGTACCATGCAGCCATTTTATAACTACAGTATCTCTACAGTGCTCCTCATGCAGTGTAAGCATTTCCTAAGGAAACACCTCCAACCATGGAAATAAGTATCTCAGAACAAGGGATTATGATGATGATTTTTAAAACCCCAATACTACCTCTTGTACAAGAAGAAGAGAGCTTTACACAAACTCATGACACAGCCATCCATGAGAATTCCCCACTACTATGAGTAATGAACAGGACTCCAGGAATACACATGTGCAGTTCAGAAAGACAAGCACAAAAGCAAGAGAGTATTCAAACACAATAGTTTTATTAGTTCGAATGCAGAGTCTTAATCTGAATTGAAAAATAATTTCAAACCTTTAAAAGATGCGATTGATCCTTAAAGAGTACGCCTTTATTCCTCTAAACAAAAGTTATGCCTACGCTGCACCAATTTTTCTGCTGGACTGTTAGTGAATCACAAACCTTAATTAATCATTTAACTCACCTGACCTGGCTGGGGGGATAAACAACTAAGTACCTCCTCCAGCATCACTGGTATATGCAATCTTCCCAAGTTACTGTTTTCCGTACTTTGAGGCAACTCTTCAGTTTCGCATTTCTGGACGGTTTGTTCCTTTAACTCACAGTCAGAAAGCTTTTTTGATGAAATATGGATCCTTCTGGCCAGACTAGCCACGCTTACCGAATCCAGTTTTAAGTTGTGGAGAAACAAACACTTGTAAACTTGGCAGAGATACCGAGATAACATTTTGGAGTTGATCAACCTGGAAGAACAGTAGATGCTGGGAATCACTTTCAAACAAATACTTGAAACAGTGTATCTGTTTAAAAAACAAAGTGGAACTGCTATAAGTAAAGCAATCAACACACATTCCAAGATGGGCAGTTCTATAGATATGTCATGTCAGCAAAACATGTTTTCAGAACTTTCAATGCTATTTACCAATCAAGCATATTCAAGCAACCAGTAGATTATTTTCACTATCAAATTTTTATTATGTGTTTTGCTTGCATTTACCTTGCAGGAGGCCTCAGGTATTTTGTCTGCGCAGATAAGAACATGCTGAGTAATCGCCTCTGGAAAGTTATTCTCTCAATAATTTTAAGCCTCAGCTGGGTAGTATTTCCACCTACCTTAAATTCATTAGTGCACATCCCTCTAACTTCGCACAGACACCCAGAACTGAGGTTTCACAACAAAACACAGCGCCCCTACAGCAAACACACACATCGCCACGGGATGCTGGGCTGGTTTTGGCTGGGGCAGAGTTAATTTTCTTCACATGGGGCTGTGCTTTGGATTTGTGCTGAACACAGCAGGGAGGAGACACAGCTGGTGCAGATGACCCAAACTGGCCAAGGGGATATTCCAGACCATATGATATCATGCTGAATTTATACAGTGCGGAAGGTTTGAAGTGATGGTTTGTCTTCGCAAGTCACTGTTGCGCGTGAAGGGGCGCTGCTCTCCTGGAGAGGACTGAGCACCTGCCTGCCCTTGGTGAATTGATTCCTCTCGTTGCTTTGCTTGTGTGCACAGCTTTCTCGTTCCCTATTAAACTGCCTTTATCCCAACCCACGAGTTTTCCAGTTTTCACCCTTCCCCCGCTCTCCCCGATCCCGCGGGTGGGGCAGCGAGCGCCTGCCGGGGCTTGGTTAAAGCAGGACAGGTGCGGCCACCAGCCTCCTCCTCCTCCTCACACCGATCCACGCGGGTGCGAGCCCAGCCTGGTCTCGCCGGGGACACGCTCTGCCTACAGCCAACCCTATTCTGTCAGACCACGGGGATTTTGTTTCGCAGAAGCGAGCAGAGAGCATACTTTATTACGGTCTAAAGCGGCACTCGGGCACAACCGGAGGCAGAGCGGGGCTCGCGCTGAGCCAGAAGGTGAAGGCAGAGGCGGCCGGAAAGCGTCAGCAGCCGGCAGCCCGGCCCACGCCAGCTCCGCGGCCGAAGGCTTTTCCCCCGCTCCCCGCCCGGGCCGGGCCAGCGTGACACGCGGAGCGAGACCCCCCGCCCGTTGGTGGCCCCGGCGCTGTCCCCGCTCGCCCAGCCCGCTCCCCCCGGGACGCGGGGCACGCGCCGAGCTCGGCCCCGCGCACTTACCGTGAGCGCCGTCGCTCTGCTGACGTCACGGGCAGGCGGCCAATGAGGAGGCGCGGAGGGCGGCCTGCTTGTGTTTGAATTCGGCGGCCGGAGCGTGGCGGTTGGAGCGGCCGCGGAGGTGAGAGCGGGGGTAGACACGGGCCGGGCGGGGAGACCGGGAATGGGCGTGGGCCGGAGGCGGGCAGCGGTGCCGGGGGTGAGTGCATGGGCCGAGGGGTGAGAGAGCGGGCGGACAGGGGCCGGGGGGTGAGACCGGGGATGGACACGGTTCGGGGACTAAGACCGGGTGTGGACACGGTCCGTGGGTGAGTCCCGGGGATAGGCGCTGCCCGGGGGGCGAGTGCCGGCGGCGGACACGGCCCGGGAAGGGGGGCGAGTGCCGGCGGCGGACACGGCCCGGGAAGGGGGGCGAGTGCCGGCGGCGGACACGGCCCGGGAAGGGGGGCGAGTGCCGGCGGCGGACACGGCCCGGGGGGCGAGTCCCGAGGCGGGCGCTGAGCGTTGTCTCGCCGCTTTGCCGATGCCGGCGGCGTGCCCCGAGCAGGAGTGTGTGCGGTGGGGTACGGAGCGGAGCCCCCCCGCTCCTCTGCCCCAGGTGTTCCCTTGCTCCGTGGCCGTGTCTCGGTTATCGCTCAGCTGAGCTTGCCCTGAAGCGGCAAAAGCGTCGGCGAGAGCCTTTAGAGTGCAAGTCGCTGTCCGCTCTTAGAGGAACGAACTAGCAGGGATGAGCCATTTAAAGGAAATTCCAGGTTGTTATCGGTCGCTGTATCCCATGCAAGTTACGTTAACGTAAATCCCGCTGTAACTCCCTTTAAACCCACGTGCAGCGTGAGTAAATCCATAACCCAGGGAATAGAGTTCCCTGTAACTACAGCATAGGCGGCTGCTCTGCCTTCTGCTGTAGGACAAGAAAACTACCCGCATTAGTCTGTAGGAACCTGGAAGCTCATCTTCAAGCTTGCTCTGACACAAAGGACAGCCAGTAGGTTATTTAGTAGTTTGAATTGTTAAAATGAACTTGGGAATTTACCGGGGAAGTGCTAGCTGGGTTTCTTAAAGCTGCGCTGGATTAAGTCATCTTTTTCAGGCCGGTTACAGTGCTTCCCTAAGTTGCACTGCATTGTAGCTAACTGGCAAGCGCTGGGTGGACCCAGCTGAGATGCCGGGTGCTAGTCCTTACCAAAAGCGTGAACTACCTGAAAGGTTTTATCTGAAATATAATGCCTTTCACTCTGTGTTGTCAACTGCAGAGGAGATTCAGCTGTGCAACCTGAAAGAGTCTTGGAAGCGAAGCTGGGGGCCGGAGGGGATGACTCCCGCTAAGGAAGAAGATGTTTGCAATCACGTGAAAGTGGTGGTCCGTGTCCGTCCAGAGACCCAAAAGGAGAAACAGGACAACTTTAGCAGGGTTGTCCATGTTATTGACCAGCATGTGTTGGTCTTTGATCCAAAGGAGGAAGAAGTTAGCTTCTTTAACGGGAAGAGACTGACCCATAGGGATATTAACAAAAGACAAAGGAAAGATCTTAAATTTATGTTTGATGCTATTTTTGATGAAATGTCATCCCAGTTGGAAGTTTTTGAGCATACTACCAAAACTCTGATTGATGGCTTCTTAAATGGATATAACTGCACAGGTAACTTCACTATTTATTTCCTTTAATTAAAAAGCTTCAAAGTTTCTACCATCATATGCAGCTGCTGCAGGGGCATTAAAAAAGGCTGAGATAGAAATAAAGCCCCGTGTTTTAATTCATGTGTATGAGAGGCTGGTTTTTTTGCATATGGAAGTTAGAATAGCTCTACTATTTTGGAAGTAAGTTTGTGTTAGGGTTATATAAGACTTCAGAATTTTATCTGAAATATGTGTGCTAATGACATAATAACTCCTCTGGAGTTATTCAAGCAGAAGCAGTTGTGTCACTAAATGTGTGGTAGCCTGCTTTATGAACTCTTTAAGAGGCTTTTTTAATTGGCAAATGAAATGATGAGGAAATTAAATGTTTTTTAGCAATAAGTTGATGGTGTAGGGTTATGAGAGTAAGTAAATAATATTTTCATGTAAATTTTGAACTGAAAATTCAAAAATGTTACTTTGAAATAGGTCTGATTACAGCTGTTAAAGTCTAAGTAAGGAACTTGATCAGTTTATGAAAACAGCTGTTCAGAATGACAGGTCTCTGAATGTTTATTTGACTTATGTGTTTCTGATTAGCTTACTGGTATAATTTGCATGTTCTTACTTTGTTTTTTTGTGTAAATTCAGTGCTTGCATATGGTGCAACAGGAGCTGGAAAGACTCATACCATGTTAGGTTCTCCTGAAGATCCTGGAGTGATGTATTTAACCATGATGACACTTTATGACCGCATGGATCAAATAAAAGAAGATAAAATATGTGATGTTGCTGTCTCTTATTTAGAGGTGAGTTCCTGCATTTGCTATGTTGCTTTTAATAATTCATATTTAATACATAAAGACAAGCTGGTTTTGCCTTTCCTTGGTCCTTTCTGGGGCTTGACAAAATGCATCCTTACACGAGTGGAACTGAACTGTGCTCTGCCAAATTTGCTGCTCAAAGGCACCTGTCCTGTTTTACAGAAAGCTGCCTAAAAAGAACAATCACTTCTAATATATTCACTGAACATTCTCGTGGTTTTTGTCTTGCTGATCAATTACATCCCTCTGAATATCTGTTGATGTGTACGAAAAAATACCAGGGTTATATCTCAGGAATTCACAACAACATCCTATAAGCACTGTGAAATTACACAACAAAATGATGTTCTGTTTTTACAAGTCAGTGTCTTGGCACTGCTGTTGAGTATTAGTAGTGAAATTGTTATCTTCTAGCTCCCTCAAATTCTTAATGGAAGAATAGTTGGTGTTTGGGAGGGGGGGAGAAGGAGAGGAGAGAAAAAAAGGAAAATAAATGCTTTGGACTCATGCTGCTTGCAAAAACTTTTTCTTTTTGTTAAAAAAAAAGTTCTTTTTTTTAATAAGGAAAACAGTTATTTACTAGAAAAAATGACACACCTTAATGGCTTAAAAGAAATCATGCACATTGAATATTTTAAACTCAGTATAATAAAGCTGTTTGGAAAAAAATCTACAGCGTGAATTTGTTACTTTGCCTTAAAGAAATACTAAAAAAGATGAGTGATTTCTGTTTATTTACGTTGAATTCAGTCAAGTATGGGAAGATTTTAATAAAATACCTTAAATTCCCTTTCAAAGATTTACAATGAACAGATCCGTGATCTGCTGGTCAGCTCTGGACCTCTGGCTGTTCGTGAAGATGCCCAGCAAGGGGTGATAGTTCAAGGTCTGACATTACATCAGGTATGTAAATACATATGGAAACTCACAGTGTGCTTGAGAAATTTGAGAAAGGTCCCATACTTCTGTGAGAGTTGTATGGAACTTGGTAATTTCCTAGTGGGCTGTTTTCTGGCCAGTAACTTGCAATCTTAACTGATTAGTCAAAAGCACATCGTGGAATAAACTGGTAATATTATTGGATGCAAATAAATAAAGCATTCAGTCTTTATTGTCATCCAGCAGGTTTTTCAGCTAAAACATCTTGGTATCTTTGCCAAAGAGTTGCTATGCTGGCCTGGAAAAGTAGTTTAACATGAAACTTTTCAAACGTGGTTATTATAAAAACAGAAACAACCCTGAGACTTCACATTGATGTAGAACACTCCAAGATGGCAGTGAAGGCAAAGTCAGTTTTGCAATCTGACAGTCAATTCTTGTGGACCTATCTTTTTTTGGTAGCCTTTTAGTGTATGTTACATGCTATGTAGCTTCCAGATTTTGTGTTCATGGAATGAATTGACAGGAAACAGTGTTCTTAGTTTGGCTTGCTCTGTGAACATCATGCTTCCAAAATCTCCAGTCTTGTGAGGGGGCAAAAAAAATTAGTATATCACTGTTTAATGCATTAGTACAAGAAGAATTAAGTCAGGCATTCTTAAATGAGGCTTCTTTTATGGAGGACCTTTTCAGATTTGTTTAAATTCTTTACTAAAATTATTCTCTGATCTAAATTTCTGCAGTTAAATGCTTTTCATACATGACTGCTTTTTAGTGGAGAATATTTGTTTGAAGTGCCTCAATTTCAAAACAGGAAATTTCTCTTATTTCTGGGTAGATAAAATGTTAAGTTCCT